TTCTCTTCTGGGGTATCATGCCGACCTGTAAGGAGTATTACGAGAAGACATCACTCGACACAAGGAAAGACACACGGTTCGGATTCAAAAACCCTACGCATGACGACACACATCGCTATAAGCTTGTCACAGGACCACATGAAGCAGTAGGGTACGCACCATCGATGGTGTCCCAAGCGCCTTCGATGCCCTTGGGGATATCCTTCTCAATCTCTTCAACGGCGTGCTCGAGTTCCGCAAACATGGCTGTAGCAAAGGGTATATCTAGCCTCCGATGAACCCGCAGCCGTTATTTATATGCAAATAGCACGCGCCCATCAGCGCTCCCAACACAGACTTTGAGGAAACGTAACTACGGATACGGTGGGAGTAACCGGACATACTGCGCCGCCCGCGACAGGCACTGCCAACGAGATGTACACTGCAGACGCTGCCATGGAGCTCGCCACCGGTGTTCTATCCTTCGCTTGATGGATGGAAGCTCCACAACGGCGTAAGTACTTGCAGTTATAAGATGAGCCGCACCTAATACTGCGCCGACCAACTATCGGCGGACCTCGGCGGGCACCCCCAAGCCGATGCAAAGCTTAGCAGGGCGACCCAAACGACAGCGTTCGATCCTCGGACTAGGTCAGGATCTGTTGCCCCTCGGTCGCACGAGGACCTTGCTGTGCGGCAAACGCGAGGCAAACGCAATGTCCAAACACAGCTATAAGCGTCTGTTCTGACATGGACGCTCGGGCTCAACTCGGGCTCGTGGAGGAGGAGGAGGGCGTCTGGGATTTGTCTGGGGTGGAATCTCTCACACTTCGCGCTCGCTGCGATGGCTTGCGCTATGTACTGTGAAGTATTGGAAACGGAGGTCAGCTTCTCGTTCGTCGACGTCATTAAACTCCGCCAGTCACTCACCTGTACGATTTTGCATAGCCAGAAACACTGTGGTCGTGGAGTATGACCAATGCATGGTGCGCAAGTGAGTCACAGTGAGTACTGTCCCAAGGCTGCGTATGAACTTACAGATTAGAGGGATTCTCATTTGAGAGTATAAGTAGTGCCGTGACACCAGTGGATGACACCGTGACGGCTACCGCGTTTCGCATTGACAAGCCCGGCACGATAGTAATATGAAAACCAAAGGAGGGAACCGCGGTGGCAGGGTACAACGTCGCGGAATGACTAGTACTGTGAACGTCTCTGTCTGACTTGAACGTGGTCGCGAGGAGGAGGAGGAGGAGTGCATACGGACGCCACGTGCACATCTATTCTTGGCAGCGCTTCAGCGCTTAACACGTTTGGCGAGGAGGATTGCAAGTTCAACGTGCAACGTTCAACCATTACGACGCAACTTGCTGAACAACTAAGTACTACAGCAAGTAGAATATTCTCAAACGAGCGGATCTGTGTAAGTCGATATGTACATAACTTCCAGCTGGTTCGCGCTCATGAGATCCTTTCGACGTGATCGTCAGTTCTTCCCACTGTTCCAGTGGACTTCGGAATCATTGTCAACTAGTCTCTACATCGTCGAATCGCTCAATGCCGTGATCTTCCCTTACCGGTTAACTCAAGGCTATCAACTCCACGCACTTTGTGACTGCGCCGGTCCTTTGAGATGAAATCAAGGTACGCATGTTCCATGGTTTCGCATACTACATATAATCATACTCACGGTCCATTGTTGCACTTCGTACGAGTCCATTGGAGATCGTCCCTGGCTCCCTCCGCATTCAGAACATAGCACGACCACAAACTCGCCAAGCGACATTCACCAGTCCCATGTAACGTGCATCACCGCCACGCCGATCAGCAGAATAGCAAAGACCACCCCGGTCCCGACGCCACCGCATATCATCGCTTGCACCAAAGTCAGCGTGCCATCCATGACACCGTGCTGGATCAATATCGCTGTTCCCACTACAGGTCCGAGCAGCCCGGACGTGAGCAGGCCTGCCACGACGCTGTGGAAGAAGACTGTGGATCCGTAGCGGCAGGCGAGCTCCGGTGGTGGGGGGTCATTCGTCTCCGTCTCGTGCTGCCATCGGTATCGTCGGCTTGGCTCCTGGTATATGCCGTAAGCAGCCTCGTATAACTCCTCTAGCCGATAGAATCCCCAGTGGACAGTGGTGAACCCGACCGAGAGGATGGATCCGCCGAGGGCACCCAGGAAGATCACGTTGGCGTCGCCCGCGTACGGCTCTTCAGGGATGAATGCCAACGGGACCAGACCTAAGAATGTCGATGCGCCAGCGTACGCAGCGAACACTGCAGCATAGAAGATACACTGCAGCGTGTAGTCGACGAGGAGTGTCATGGCCTTCTTGCTGTGCACGCTTGGTATTTGTGGCGCTGTGAAGTGGAGGTTGGGCCATTTCTGGAGGAACGCATTCGATAGGCTCGTCCACTTTGAGGGTCGCTGCATTGGACGGTTGCCGATCGCTCCTTCGACGAGCGTGTCCGTCGATCCAGTCTCGCACGACTCGAGCAGGTATGTGGCGTCTTCATTGTCCGGGTGTGGTTGTTGAAAGCAGGTGTCGACGCTACCAGACCCTAGACTCGGATGCGGCAAAAAGATGCCTATCATGGCCTGCAAGGTGGACTCGGGATCGAGGGCAAGTGTTCTTGGCTCTGTGGAGTGGATGCAGAAGAGGTGATGGGCTAGTACCGCTCGCCGGGCATTCTTTTTATCGTTGAGCGGCGAGAAGGCTGTGTCCAGTTTGTCACTGCATTTAGAACACGTCCTCAGGCTCGAGCTCTTCAGCCAAAGCTTCTGTGTGGCGTAGCCTGCGGTTTCCAGGACAGCCATTGCTTAGAGCCGTGGCTGTTCTGCGACCGTATGTCGTGCTTTGGCCTGCGCTGTTCTGTCATAGTATAGCGAGGCCGGCCTGCGTGCACTGCTTCAGCCTCGTCCTCGAATGCTGCTGCACCGCCACGCGAAACCTGACTGTCCATCCCACGTGTCTACTGCATGCATGCTCTCAACATCGGGTCTCGAGGGCGATGCGCCATGCGCCACACATATGGTAACTTCGTGTCGCTGCTTTGCTCAGAGCCTCTCTACCTGAACTTGCTTTATCGGGGACCATTGCCGAGCCACTGCTTGCTGACTATTCTAAAACCTGAGTACCGACTTGCTTTGATTGACTTCTGAGCCGCGTCACCGTGAGTTAACCCCGATACAAGTATAATGCTGACGACGGCGGCTAATTTATTCCCGAGGACGGCTGCCACTCGTGCATGCTTATATACCGATCCCGATCATCTCGCAAACGATGAATGAGGATCTGTCTGAAGGCATCGATATCGCACCGTCGCGGGACTCGGTCACGAAGGATACATGCTTGTGTGCGACCGCCGTATTGTCTCTTTGAAGGTATGTACATATCACAATAGAAGTCCGTCATTGTCCTACATGAATCCCCCAATACACCTCCGCATCCCGGGACTACAAGACTATATACCGGTTCTCCGATGCCAATAACAATCTCTGTCTTGCACAGGATATGCCGAAAAGTGCAATGCTAGCCACGACCCCAGTACCAGCGGCGCCGCATCTCAGAGCATGCAGTGCCGTCATCGTGCTATCCATCAAGCCGTGCTGGATGATTATCGTCGCTCCCACCCAAGGTCCGAGCAGCCCGGCGACAAGCAGACCCAAAACAAAGCATGCCTTCGCTACAGACCACGCATGACGGCCCGCGAGTTCTGGCTGCGGAGGCATGTCCGTCTCGCATTGCCACGTCCGCGGATCCTGAAGGTCCGGTTGCTTGTATATCCCGTGGGCCTTCTCGTACCACGCCTCCAGCTCTCTGTACGCCATAAGCGTCGTGGAGAACGCCACGGAGACGATGGCCCCGCCGAGCGCGCCAGCGTAAACGACGTTGTCGGTGAAGTTGCTGGCGTAGGGTTCCTGATCCGAGAGAAGCCATCCTCCCAGCCAAGTGCAGGTGCCAGCGAAAACGGCGGAGACGGTCGCGAAGAAGACGGCGGCGCAGTAATAGTTGAAGGTGAATATCACAATCTTCTTCAACCACGTCGTGGGCCTTTCCGTGTGCCCCACGGGGATGACAGTTCCTACTAGATTGACCTTTAGGACGATGTGTGAAGGACTGGTGGCGATGCAAGACTCACCGTCGTTCTCTGTGCCCGATATCGGTTCCGTGTGCGATTCCTCCTTTGAGGTAGCGGCGTCCGACTCCAACTTGAAGAAAGGAGTGGCGTCTTTCGCGGCCCCTTCGAGATCAAACTGGGGCAAGCGAGTGTACCCAGAGTGCAACGTCAGGAAAGGAAGACGGAAGAAGGCCATGGCTTGCACGGAGCGGTAGGAGGCCACTGAGATATGGGAATGTACTGGATGGAACTGTAGTGTGCGGAGGTGGGTGAATCGTATTCGATGCCCTGCTCTCATTTATAACCAAAGGACGAGAAGGCTATGTTCAATCTGCTATCGTAAGCATGTATCCTGCCTGCAATTGTCTCGGTGTCAGTGAAGTTTGGAAGCTTGAGGCATAGCTTGCGGTTGCCACGGCTGAGGCCTGAGGTATTGAGGCTGAAGCTTCCACACAATACCAACGAAGCTGCATTGCATCTCCTATCTGACGGGCAATTGTGGCGCAAACACCGTGTACTACTGCAGGCTATGGCCAAATCGTATTCCGCCGCGCGATCTGCTCTGCCTTGTTGTACTTGAACCGTATCGGCCGAGGACTCGTGGGCCGTAGTCAAGTGCAATTGTAACAACAGATTGGGTCAAAGTGCCACACTGGCAACAAGCGAAGGCCCTGTACGACTCGGAGTATCCGTATACCTAGTATTGTCAGTGACTTCGCACACAGCCTCCGCCTATGCCAGTGAGCGACTCCGACAGAGCCATCCTATCGTGAGCTGCCCGCGTCGCACACGCCTACAGTCCACTGGCGTCGTGTGTAGGAGGTCGTTTGAACGATTATTGTCGCCTTCACGCTTCAGTACGATGGCCATAGACGCTGAATATGAGCAATGTACTATCGCTGAGCGAGGCGTACTCTCAGTGTCCCTAAGAACGGAGTCGCCGGTTTCGTCACGATATTTATCCGTGCCTCGCTGAGCGACGAAGCATGAATGCAACCAAGGAGGTCTCTCGCCACATGTGAAACTCATGACCATAGATAAATTGACGGAGGCGCACTATGTAGGTCTGTACTAGGTAGCTATCATAGGTACGGCCCACTGTTCTTGGCTATACAAGTCCATAACCACTTGGGTATCCTCTCCCCATCTCGCGGGCGCGCATAGACCCAGCAGTAGACCAAACCTCACACGTATCAACACTCGGCGTCCCTTCCCCTTACAGAGCTTCATCCATAGGTACAGGACAGGCAGACGAGTATACCGCCAATGACAAGCCCTGTACCGGCCGCGCCACATCCCAGCGCCGCAGACGCAGTCATCGCGCTAGTCACGATACCTCGCCGTATGACCGTTCCGAACACAGGTCCCACGAGCCCGCCCATAAGCAACCGGAGATCGTACAAAAGCGGTGACGGAGCCCGCGTAACGGCGGGCGAGCTTCGGTGCGGAGGCACGTACGTCTCGCGCTGCCACGTCCACCACTCCGGGAGCTCGCTCGGGGCTCGTATATCCCATGGGCCTCTCGTATATCTCCTCGAGCTCGGCGTAACACCACATGACAGTGGTAACATCAAGGACAGGATGGTCGCGCCAAGCATGCCGGCGTAGACGATGCTGAAGTTGCTGGTATAGGGTTCGTTCGTCTGGAGGAGTACCAGCTCGCGTAGGTGGAGGCGCTGGCGTATACGGTGCAGGCTGCGGCGAAGGAAGCAGGAGAAGATGTAACTGGAGACCAGTTGCCGATCTTCTCGAGGCGCGTCGACGGCTCTTCGGAATGCGCCCTTCAAGGGCGTCCAGCTCTGCGCCTCCCTCGTCAGAGACAACGGGAAAAGGGACGATAAAGATCATCTACACACCTCTTTCGAGCTGAGCGGTCAAGCCGGTCCGCTGTGTACGCTGTGTTCGGATGGTGTGCGATGCTCTGTGCGAACGTGCGGCGCGCTCCGACCGGGACGTTCTCTTCGTGTGCGATGTCGGTTCCGCGTCGACCGTC